TGCACTAACAACCTGCAAAAAATTTAGCTTATAGGATTTCCAATGGATGAAATATGTTGGTTTTTGTTGACACATTCAAGCTGCGATTTTTTGAAAAAATATATTAAATAATTTAAATACGGTTGAGTTTTGGTATGATGATTCCTAACAAAAAGTATGTAAAATCTGTTTTTTTTTTTAAGATAATTTCCCAAGTCAAAAATTCAGTAACTATGTTGGCAACACAAGCCTTTTCTCCATAAAAAAATTGAAAGCATTGACAATTTTACATTGTATTGCCAACATAATGTAATTTTGACTTTTATCTTTTAAAAAAAAAACAGACATTAGGATTTTTAGAACGATAGAATATACTAAAATATAGGGTGTTCCATTTAAAAATAATAAAGTTCTGTCGCATACCCCATTTACAGAGCACCCTGTATTTATAAAAATACTTTTAAGAAATGCACCTTAGAGAATCAAACATTTTTGAATTTTTATTTATTTTTCTTGCATCACCCTGTAAGAAGATATCGTCCGATATCGCACTAAGGGCCGATTTTACAAGTAGAGCTTAAACTCCAATCTTGAGTTTAAACTACAGTTTTATAAAATTGACACTTTTACAACTTGGGTTAATCGTTAATCCTAAGTTTAAACTTTACCGTTGGTTGGGGGTTGGTTTAAACTACAATCCTAAGATTATAAACCTATTTTTGGGAAACAAATTAATGAATAAAATATAATAATAAATCTTTCGAGTTGTTGAAACCAAACCACAATGGAAGAAGATATACTTTGTTTCTGGTGATATTCTGAGTGATGATGAAGACAATTTAAATATTATCCAAAGACCTCGTAGACCAAAAATAATTCGGGAGCGGGTAAATCATCTGGAACTTTGGGATAATCAAAACTTTAATAGAGTAATTTCTTGTTCCGAGAAATTTTGATTTATTTTTTGTAACAATTGTAACAAATCCATTATTTCAGATCAACGCAATAACCACTATGTAACAACTACAACTACCTATACTTTTAAATTTTAAAATTGATGTTTAAAACATAGGTTAGGGACAATTTCCTCTTCTTTATAATGTGGCATCAGCAATTATTCCAATTTTTCCGAACTTTACTGACAAGATGTAAAAGATGGTATTTTATTTTAAACATTGGTTTAAACTTTTAATTAAACCGCAGTTTAATCTGAAGTTTAAACTCTACTTGTAAAAGCGACCCTAAGTGGACTCCCTGTATAACTATTTTAACGGCATCGGGATACATTTTTGCCCCAAGCGTGTTTTTTAAACGACTTTCGGGTGCAAATTTGGGCGTGGCACCCCAAAAGAAATTTCGCCTCCGGCGGTACGTTCTGGCACTTGATGATTTTCCCGTCGTCCATTACCCTCCCCCCAGAAAATCATGTATGGACCGCTACTGATTATTGTAGACATGACAAATTGGTTTTTATCTCCAAGCCTTTTAATCTGCATAAAGCTGATTCCTCTGACTATTTGTCAAGAACAGTACTAGTTACTAATAAGCTTGAAAAGTAAATGTAGAACTTTTATGGTCATAAAGCTGATTTCTCTGACTGTTTGTTAATATCAGTGGTTAGTTGATCGTAAATTTGAGAAAGTGAATGGAACACTTTGATGATGAAGCTGATTTGCTGATTCCTCTAAGTGTTTATCAAGATCAGTAGTTAACAATAAACTTGGAAAAGTGAAAGCATAACACTTTGGTGATGAAACTGATTCCTCTGACAGTTTGCCAAGATCGCTGGTTAATAAATCTGATAAAGCAAAATCAGATGAGCAACAGTCCAAGAAAGTACCTAGCTAACTATTAACTTATGGAACTATATAATGAATGATTATAATAAATCTGTGGGTAAAACAGATCTACCAAATGATATTCATTCAGTTTCCACTATAATCACGATTCCCATAGAAGTTAAATCAAAATCCGCCAGTGAATTGCGTCCAATAAATTTCTTTTGCACTACTTTGACAAAATTTTGTAGAAAATGGTGTATATGCAACTTGTTGAGTATATAGATCGAAATAAACTATTGAGTGATTTTCAATCAGGGTTTCGAGTAAGTCAATATCAGTAGTTAATAGCGAATATGAAAAAGTGAATGTAAAACGCTTTGATGATCAAGCTGTTTGTCAAGATCGGTGATTAATAAATCTGATATAGCTAAATCAGATGAGTAACAATCCAGGAAAGTAGGTAAATGTTAACTCTAATAAACTCATTAAACTAAATAATGAGTATAGTAAATCTGTGATTAAAACAGATCTGCCAAATGATATTTACTCATTATTGGTAAATAAAACGTAATCGTTAGTATCAAGACCCGAATATAAAAATATAGTGGATTGTAAATGGCTATTTTTCATTGAAAATGATGAAATTGGAAAACCATTTAGATACAAAGCTACCTTAGTTGCTCGTGGTTTTAGTCAACATTACTTGGTAGATTGTAATGAAACCTTTTCACAGGTGGCGAGAATCGTAGGTTTCTGGTTTATAATAACCTTTTTAATCAGTTTACCTTTTTAATACATTATATGGATGTAAAAACAGCTTTCCCGGATGGGACATTGAAGGAAGCCATTTTTATGAAGGTTCCTGAAGGCTGAAGGGTGGCTGGCTTAAGGTGTGACAAGTAAACCTCCTAACCAAGTTTGCAAGGCTTTGTTTCTATGAACTAAAACAAACCACTAGATGTTGGTTTGAAATAATAATAAAAGTTCATAAAGAAAATGGGTTTGAAAATTCATCAGTTAACCACTGTATCTATCTCTTAGACAAAGGTGCAATATGTAAAATTATTTATGTAGTTCTGTAGATGGTATTTGCCACTGCAGATAATAATACATTGAATAGTTTCAAAAGGTATTTGGCAAATAACTTTTCTATGTTTTATTTGAAAGACAGTAAACTATTTTTGGGTATTAAAATTGATAGGTTATCAAAAATAAAATTACTCTTGATCAATTTTCACATAGGTATGTACCTACATGAAAACTATTTTACATAAATTTAATATGCATGACTCATGACTGTTTTGCCGTCAGCTGTGTCAGCACTCCGCTTCCTAGTAAACTGAACTTAATTGGTTCAAATTCAGAAGAAAAATATGATAACCCTTGTCGTAATCTAATCGGCTGTTTAATGTATATTATGTTATGTATACCAAACCTGATTTAAGTACCGCTGTTACTATTTTGAGCAGGTATCAAAACAAAAAAAATATTAAAGAACTTTGACAATATTTGAAAAGGGTCCTTAGATATCTTAAGGGTAAAATCAATTTAAAGTTGACACAATATTTTAGATGTGAATCTATCAATTTCTTGAGTGAATATATTGATCCACACTAGGGAGGTGGAGATTATATAAGCAATATAAAAGGCACAACAGGATATTTATTTAAACTGTTTGAAAATTGTGTGATATGTTGGAATACAAAAAGGCGGTTGTCAGTAACGGCATCATCTACTGAAGCCGAATATATGGTTTTTCTTTTTGAAGAGGCTCTTTGGTTAAAATCATTAGCAGAAAATATGCATAAATATTAATATCAGAGTCAATTATGACCTAGGAGGACAACAATGGATCTCAATAAGTGTTATTACAAATAATCCAACAAATCACAAAAGATCAAATCATATTGAATTGATCGTAATTAATATGAAATATTAATTTATCCACAGAGAAACCACTAGCAGACATTTTTACCAAACCATAATTGATGCAAGTGAAATTTGAGAAATTAGAATGGAATTAGGCTTAGTTAATAAGTTAAATGGTTTGATTAGGTTTTTCTGGGTTTTCCCTAATCCCGAGCAGCAAATGCTGGAACGTTATTGTAATTTTCCCCAGAAAAGACACACATAAGGAAAGCAGGCCTATTTATGTTATACTAGGTTTAAGTTGTATTACACTTTTAGTATAATTGATCAAATTTTTGAGGTGGCGTGTTGGATAAACTGATATTCATATCAGTGAAACAAAAATTAATAAATTAAACTTTGATTATTAGCCTATACTTTGCTAATTTATATCGCAGCTAAGGATGACTGAATGTGTTTATAATAGTTTTTATATGTAAGATAAACAGATGGAATCGTTTACTTAAGAAAGGGTTTGTCTTGATGTTGAGTCAGTTCGTATAGTTATTTCTATGAGTTATCACGCTCTGCTTTCCACGCTGTGTTCGATATAATAAATATATTGAATATCGATAATGAACAAGTTCTTTTATTTCTTAGTCCATTTCCCAATAAATACAAACACATTTTCAAGCGACGCGCAAAGCCAGAAAATCACTTACATTAGAAAAAAGTTGCACGAAAAATGCAATTCTCAAAAACCGAAAAAAATAAAATAAAATTTCAATAAGTGTGCTGTCAAATTATTCATTATATTAGCTAAGTATAAATTAACCTACTGTATCTGAATTTGAATATCGCAAAAATGGTAATGTGCTCTACTTATTATCGGGCTTATTTTTGGTACCGTAATAAGGTATGTACATTACATAATAATAATAAAACGTGTAACGTGAACCTTTTTCAACCAATGTGAATTTTGACAACGAGTGTGACAATCACAAATGAGTGAAAAAAAGGGACTTTACACACCTGTTGCTAGCTTCAATATCTCAAAATCCTATTACCATACGTTTTTGATTGAAATGTTCATTTTATCAATCAGTTTATTTTATCGAAATGCCAACAAGGAGCCCATAAGACTTCATTTAAAAGAGAAAATCCGAATAATAAGGCCTATAACCTGGAAAAATATGAGTATTCATAATTTTCTAATGCTTAACTTAGGTTGTTAGTAGTGTACAATCTGTTGTTGAATTTAAATCAATTTTCTGAAACCAAAGATTATTCAGAAACAAAAAAAAAATCCCTCATCCATCAACCTGCTAGTGCTAACGGAGTCAATTCTTATAATATACTCGACTATATTATTATATGCTGCCTGAATATCACTCGTTTTTACAAACGTTGCGTTTTCTTATCACATCAGGCTCATTTATATTGCAAAGCAAAAAAGCAATAATCATATGTTTAATAGATAATTCTATTAGTTTGGTAATTACCTGTCTCTCTATCGGCTAAAAAACGTTTTACATTAAAAACGTATGAATTTTACACGTGAATCCATTAAAAGTTATCGCGAATAACCAAATAAAAAGCACCCCAATTGTTTTAACACGGACCAGTTTTAATTTAGTGTGCGAAATTCAATAATGAAATTAATACATTTTTGCTATATTTTCATTCAACTAGCCTTTGCAAAACCTAATCACAAAATACTATCAATTCAAAAAGAATCATGTGACAGCTTAGTGTATTGCCAAGGAACCTTATTGGACACAGTGCAACGTGCTCGTATATTTTCCGACTCCAAAACTTTTGTTGATTTAAGCCAAACTAACGCACCAGAAATAACTCTGCAAAACTTCCAAGAGCTGATGACATCAACCAATAACAACCCCACAAAAGAACAAATAATAAAATTCGTAAACGCCAACTTTGTCGAAAGCACCGAACTAGAAGAATGGACCCCCGAAGACTTTAACGCAAACCCCGATTTCCTAAACAAAATCAAAGACAAGCAAATCAAACAATTCGCGGGCGATCTCGTTAAAATTTGGCCTTCCTTAGGCAGGAAAATCGGCCAAACGGTATTTGATAATCCAGAGAAACATTCTCTTATAGGAGTACCAAACGGAATTATCATTCCAGGAGGGAGATTCAAGGAGTTTTACTATTGGGATTCTTATTGGATAATCGAGGGGTTGATTTTGAGCGAAATGGTCGACACTGCTAGGGGGATGATTGAGAATTTGCTGTTTATGGTGGAATTGTATGGGTTTGTGCCTAATGGAGGAAGAGTTTATTATTTGAATAGGTATAACTTATTAACTTATATCCCCTTACATTATGTAGGTACACTATGATTATTCAATGTGGACAGTGGCGGCTCGTGACTATTTCAAGTGAGGAGGCTAAAAGATTTTAAAGATTTTCAGTGATTTTGAGTAGATCTTACGAGTTGTTCTGGGATTTTGACCAACTTGTATACAAATTTTTCACAGTGGCGGCTCGTCAGAGGAGGAAGGGGAGGCTAAGCCTCCCCCAAAAAATTGAAAATTCAATCTCAGGTTTTTATTCCTCATTCCTAATTAAAATAATAATTCACAAATTACACAACAGAATAATTCCAATTTTCGATAATTCAATGTAATTTAGAAAAATCTGACATTATTTCAATTAATCCCGCGCCTCCACGACAAAAATCTGTGAACCTGGGTCGGGATACTCAGTAATACCAGCCCGAAGGGCCGGAGTTATATGCGAGCCCGAAGGGCCGGAGTAATACGAGCGCAAAGGGCTAGAGTTATACGTGAGCCCGAAGGGCCAGAGTTAGTTATACGCGAGCCCGAAGGGCTAAAGTTATTATAATTACGGGGCCCAGTCTATAATTCTATTGGTCAGTGAATAATTTGGAGGCAATCAAAAATCGGGAATATTCAAAATGTAATTTTTAGTTGATATTCCGAGTTTCAGTTTTCTCCGATGTCAGGGCCGGTTCTAGCTCTTTGGCCGCCCTCGTGCAAGAGCTTGTTTTGCCGCCCCCCCATGAGAAACTTTTTGCTTCGGGGGAAGGGAATTTTTCATAATATTCTATTTCTAGATTTGAAAAAAAAAACACATGGCAGCACTGCTCATGATACAACAAACGTCAAAAAATTGAAATTTCAAACCTTGGGTTTTTTTGACAATCGATACAAAATGACGTCTTTTTGTTTCGAAGATTACGGCCCGAAGGGCCGGAGTATTAAAATTAGTTAACAATGAACGGGTTCGTTCGGATAAAACTATTGCTGCATGACACTTTGGCAATATCAACAAATGTCACCTGTCAAATTTGATACATGTTCAACTTTTTCCCCGCTCTACTATAAAAGCTACGAAAATCAAACCCCGGTACAAGGCAGTTTCGCGACGCCAACTATCAATTTGTGTCAAAAAAAATTGACAGCTGTCAAACGTCATATTTTGCGAATTTCGAGAAAAAAAAAGTGGTAGAAAACGTTTCCCGGACCCCAAAAACTTTAAATAAAAATTCAAAAAAAAACCAACGGAAATGGTATTCCAAAACCTACTTGATAAAAGTAAAGTTTTTCTCACTTACCCCGTTAAAACACTGGAAATTTTTGGTGAAAAATGGAGAAAACTCAAAGTCTCGTACTTTAAATCCGTTTTCCCGACTGAAAAAGCCCCGGAAAAGTGGAAATTCGAACACGTCAATTGAAAATGGCCGACAGCCACAAGCGATGTTGCCACATCAAAAGCATTTTAAATGGGATTTTGCTAATTATGGCATTTAAAACTAGAAATTTTTACTAAAAAATGAATACAAAGCCTCGTACTTTAAATCGGTTTTTCTGACCAGAAAAGCCCTGGAAAAGCGGACAAATCCAAAGAAAAACTTCTAAAAATGACATTCCAAAGCCCACTTAATGAAATTTGAGTTTTTGTCACTTACCCCATTGGAAAACTGGGAATTTTTAGCACAAAATGTAGGAAATTCAAAGCCTCGTATTTCAAATCGGTTTTCTTGACTGAAAACGGCCTGGGAAAGCGGAAAATTCGAGGAAAACCTGGATAGAAATGTAAATACGTCAATTAAAAATTGCCGACTGTCAAAACTGGCAAATGACATTTATTACAAAACCTACTTGAAGTTGGCACAAACGGTGTTGCCACATCAAAACTTCCAAAAAAAAAAAAATTTAAATGGGATTTTGTTATTTATGTCATTTTAAAACTGGACTGGACATTTTTGCTTTGAAAATTGAGAAAACTCAAAGCCTCGTATGTTAAATTGCCTTTTTCCATTGAAAAGTCCCGGAAAAGTGGAAAATTCGAGGAAAAGCTGGCAAAAAATCACAAGGCGTCACTTCAAAATGGCCAACTAAAAGCAACGTTGCCACATCTCATTTCGGAAAACAAAAATAACATTTTAAAAGGATTTTTTGTTTAAAATTCAATTTAATAATTAATTAATAATGATTATAATAATCAAAATTTCCCAAATAAAACATCGGAAACTTATTTTTAATTTAATTTCAATGAAAATGACATAACAAGATTCACTTGTTGATTATAGTGTGTAAGACAAAGACAACGATAAAGTAGTATATGTTTGCAAAAACCACCATTTTCTGAAAAAAGTAAAAATCTTAAGAAAACCAACATTCCAAAATCAATTTGATAAAACTAAAGTTTTTGAATATTCCCGGCTCTTTGATTGGGCGCTAAAAATAGCATTTTAAATACTCCCGGTTTTTGATTGGCTCTAAATTATCCGCTGACCAATAGAATTATAGACTGAGTGCCGTGATTAAAATAACTCTAGCCCTTCGGGCTTGTATATAACTCCGGCCCTTTGGGCTCGCGTATAACTCTATCCCTTCGCGCTCGTATTACTCCGGCCCTTCGGGCTCGCATATAACTCCGGCCCTTCGGGCTCGCATATAACTCCGGCCCTTCGGGCTCGCATATAACTCCGGCCCTTCGGGCTCGCATATAACTCCGGCCCTTCGGGCTCGCATATAACTCCGGCCCTTCGGGCTCGCATATAACTCCGGCCCTTCGGGCCGGTACCTATTACTGAGTATCCTGACCCAGATTCACAGATTTTTGTCGTGGAGGCGCGGGATTAATTGAAATAATGTTGTCAGATTTTTCTAAATTACATTGAAATATCGAAAACTGGAATTCTGTTGTGTAATTTGTGAATTATTATTTTAATTAGAAATCAGAAATAAAAAATTAAGATTGAATTTTCAATTTTTTGAGGGAGGTTTAGCCTCCCCTGCCTCCTCTGACGAGCCGCCACTGAATGTGGATAGAAGAAATTTTAGGTTTGTTCTCACAGAAATCACAAATCTATCAGAGCGAATTTCATTGGTTGAAAACAGGTTTTTGGCGATTTGCACCAATTAAAAACGCTATGACTGGTTTGTGAAGACAGACCTATTACAAAATATTATTAATATACTCACTGACTTTTGCGCTCTAATATAATTATATTTTTAACTTATTCGCGTTCAATTAGCTGATTCTTGACACAGTGGCATTTACATACATTTTCATCTTAACTCGTTTTTGATATGGAGAATTAAGGCTAACTTACACGTATCCAGTAGCTGGCGCCAGTCTCATTGGTGTTCCAGGTTCGGGCATCGTGTCAGTCCAGTGTAAATCGACCTTTAAAGATTATAGGTTTTGAGATCCACAAAATGTGTGCAATTGCAAAATCCAGACAGCACACAGAGTCTTACAAGTTACAGATGGCTTTTTCAGGTCTGCATTATGTTTAAAGACCAAAAAAAGACGTTGTTTTGAAAATGTCTATATTATAGTTATCGTAAATTCACATTTTAACGACAAATATTTGGTACAACCAGGCCGTAAAGTGAATAATGGTTTATGTATTAAAAATAGATTCCAAGAAGTTGTTAAGACATCTCGTTAAAGACGTCTTAAGAATGTCTTAATCTTAAAGACAACTTTAGGCAGACGCCTGAAAGACTTCAAAATGCCTTAAAGACATCTTAAAGACGTAAACAAGACGTCTTGAATGTCCATTCCTCTTACAAAAATTCCTAAAACTACTCGACACAAATTTTGCTCCATTTATCTGGTCTAAATGTTTTGACCTTAACCTGGTGCTGTGTTATCACTAAGAAAGATGAAAAATCATCTAAAATATGTTTTACTTTCGTAGGTTAGAGGACAGGACCATAAAAGCTTGGATAGTTTCTTCTTTTTTGGTCCTGTCCACTAACCCACGAAAGTGAAACATATCTTTACAAAGACACGAAATGATCGCAATCATCTAATATAGTTTGGAAGTACTTACCCACCATCTATAGTGGCTGGATTGATTGGTCAGCAGACATCACTATGTACCCAGATCTCCCAAAGCAGCGAGGTCCTCTTATATTCTCATCATATAGACACCTTGTTGTCTTTCCTTCCATACAACTGCTGCATATTTTACCAGATTTTGACAAACCTAGCTGCATGAGTGTGTCATGACCCGCCATGACCCCAATCTTTCAGAACTCTTTTGAACCAATTTAGAACACGTTGGAACATAAAATATGTCTAGCGGCTGGAATAGACAAAAATTGAAAGTTAAGGACATCCTTTTTGAACTGGAAACGTCCATAAGATGCCCCTAGTGCTGTTTGGGGCAGTTTCACTCTAGATAAGAAAAAACATTCCCTTTCCTTAGGTATTTATTCAAAATAATATGTGACAATTCTAAAATAATTCATTTCATCACAAGGGCCGTAGGCATAACATCCTCTACAAGAGCCGGGAAAAAGTTCAGCTTTCTTCTACAAACCAAACAAAACTCCCTTTTACAGTCAAAAAACAAATCCAACTTTAAATCTACCTCCTTTTCAGATCTCAACCACCTCTTCTCACCTTGATGGCCGGCCTCTACTTTGACCATACAAACGATATTGCATGGCTCCAAAAGAACCTTCCTCTTCTAGATAACGAGCTCACTTATTGGCTAGACCAGAAAACCGTAGATGTCGTTAAGAATTGCCAAACATACCGTATGGCTCATTATTTGTCTCAAAGCGACACTCCTAGACCGGAATCGTACTATGAAGATATAACTACTTGTAAATTTTTCATTAACGATGAAGGAAGAGTAAGTAGAGCCATTTGCCAAGAATTTGGATATTTTGAAACTTTTTTCTAGAAACATTGTTATCAAGGATTAAAAAGCGGAGCGGAAAGTGGATGGGATTTTTCCAGCAGATGGTTCTTTGACCAGGAAGGCGGCATTAAAACCAATCTCACTCACATTGACGCTCAAAGAGTTATACCTGTTGATTTAAATGCAATTTTGTGTGCAGCCTTCAAAAGAATATCTAGGTGGAAATAATTTCTTTTGTGTAATTAAGTGAAAAAGCACAATTTATTTTAGCTTTTATGAGTTAACTGGCGATTTACAAAACGCTGCCAAATGGGCACTAGTTTCGAAACAATGGTTGCAGGCAATTGAAGAAGTGCTTTATGATGATACAGATGGGATCTGGTACGACTATGATCCAGTAGGTTTTGAATTTAATTTTTGCCTATTTTAAACAAGTCTTTTCTTATTAAAGGTCTTATCAAAATCAAGAAAAATGTTTTATCCAAGCAATTTTGCACCCCTATGGACGGAAACGTACAATTTTGCTTTGAAAAATGAGTACGGCCGAAGAGCGGCCGAATACTACACCGATTTAAACATTGGAGAATTCAAAGGTGGTATTCCTACTTCCTTGGATGGTAACAACGAACAATGGGATTTGCCTAACGCTTGGCCACCTCTCCAGGAATTTGTTATTTTAGGCAATAAAAACTCAGCCAATTAAACATCAAGTATCTAAATGTATTCATTTTTTAGGTTTATGGAATACAGGAAATAGAAGAGCAAAGTCGATAGCCAGACAATCGGCGGAACGATGGATCCAGGCGAATTTGATCGGTTACAGGGAAGAAACTGCAATGTTTGAAAAGTACGATGCCACCAAAGTGGGTCAATATGGAGGTGGCGGAGAATACCAAGTACAAAAAGGTTTTGGATGGTCCAACGGAGTTGCCCTTAATTTGATTGATAAGTTTTTCACTAGTAGACGTCCAAGAATTAGTAATAGTATAGTTAAATTATTGGATGAAGTTGAAGAATAAAATTATTAGTTGTTATAACTTAGAAAATAAAGTATTTTTTCTATGACCATCAAAAAATAAACAACTTTCACAGTGGCGTAACTAAGGGCCCGCAGTTGCGGGGGGGCCCGTGATTTTAGTTTTAAAAAAAAATACAAATGTACCTACTTCTAAATCCGAATTAGATTCAATTGGTACAATACGAGAGTTACTCCATTTAATCTTTAATCGAACATGTGGAACTTAACTTAGTTCTAGTTTTACTGAAGTAATCTCCATATTATCTTATTTTTGACGTTGTCTGTAATAAGTCAGCTTTTTGTGTTCCTTTATGACACAAGGTCGACTAAAGGCATTGGGGCTACTGTCCAAAAAAGCTGAGGAAGCTAGTAAAATGGACATATCTGAATAAGTTAGGGCATATGCCAACCACAAGGCCCGCAGAAAGAATTTTTTCTTTTATTTTACTTCACAGGGATTTTTCTTCTTTTTTAAATATTTTCTTGTTCAGTGACTGTTATATTATATGATATGTTATATTTTTTTATTTTTGTTCTTTTGAATATCTACATCACTGTTTTTTTATGTTCTTCGTTTTGTTATATTTTATATTTTTATTACCTATATGCTTGACTGGAATGTTTTTATGTTTCCTATATTCCTAATTTTTTGTTTTATTTTCAAAATTTGATTTATAATGTATGTCTTCTGGTTTTGGTTTCTTATTTTTAAACAACTGAAAATGAAAGCGTTGTTTCATTCTACTACACTTTATATTATGTAAATGCGTATATTTATACAGGGTGTCCCATCACGTTTTACCCAGGTCACAGTTTTATAAACTGTGCCCAGGTGATAACTTCGGAACGCGTCATCCAATATAATTGAAATTTTGAGGATCTGGTAACTTTTTGTTCCACTTCTACATGTGTTATCCAATTTCACCATTTTCGCTTCAGTTTCGGTCAAGTGATGGCAACTGCAACTTTAGAATCTTAAATGGTAACTTATGGTATATAATGATGTAATTTTTCGTTAGAAAATTAAATTACAAAGTCGGCAATGCCATATTTGTTTAGAGTTTATCAAAGAAAATGATAAAGAAATACAAGTGAAATATTCGATGACGCGTTCCGGAGTAGGAAGTAGTTATCACCTGGGGACCAATCAGTGGCGCATCCAGAGTGTGGGTCTGGGGGGGGGGGGGGGGGTAAACAAAAATCCGATACACGCGCTTACTTACCGCCGGAGGCAGCTTGCCGCAGGCTCCCCGAAAATTTTTTGGGGGCGTCAGGTCAAAATTATTACCTTCCAAAAATCGATGTTGAGAAAACATCGATGTTTTTCTATCAATATTTTCTTAACATCGATAGGTACCAGCTTTCGATGTTTTATCGATACCGAAACATCGATGTTATCAGTTGGATGGGCATCCCTAGTTGTTAGATGTGTGGTAGGTAAGGCCCGAATTTATAGTTGTTCCTTGGGTCTTCCTTGAAGGTCGTGAGTTAAGAGTGGACACTTGCTACTATGTGACAAGTTAGTCATATATCAATTCTAAACGTTCAAGGCCTCCTTGAGGTCTGGGGATTCTGAGAGCCGGTTTCTCAATAGCAAGTCACCCCCCAGGTTAAGCATAACTCCATTGAAACTGGACACGTAAGGGCAGGTTTCTCAATAGCGAGTCACCTTCGGGATAATTTCAACTCCAGGGTGAGCGTGTCCAGTTGCTTTGTTTACCTTGGAGTTATGTTTAACCCCTTATTTAACCCGGGGGTGTCCTGCTATTGATAAACTGGCCCTAAGACACGTTTACCCTGGCCGAGTTGGTTTTTGTCATCTTTTTCGTCAATTTGCTTCGAATTTTTGACAGGCACGTGAATGGATAAGATAGTTTTAATTTACAAATCACATGCCTGTCAAAATTTCGGAATAAATCGACGAAAAAGATGACAAAAACGAACTAGGTCCCTGGAGTTGTTAAAACCAACCCAGAGGTGAATAGCTATCGGAACCGACCCTAAGTGACGCGGCACCGAGTGACAGACATTTGACGTCGATGACGGAAACAAAAGTAAAAAAGCGCTGCTGCTATATCGCACAGAAACTCACTGTCGTTAGTAGTATTTCAATAGTTTTCGCAATATAATTCCTATATTTTCAGTATAAAAACTAAAAATTCAGGTTGATTGAAAATTTTCTAGTTTTCTGGGGGGGGGTAATTACCCCCCCCGTATATGCGCCCCTGGGCCCAATTCTTGAATAATCTCGCATACAAAATGTGATATGATTTCGAATATTTCTATTTGATCAACGTTGCTGTCATTCCAATTCGAATCCAATTACGTATGCAAGAATATTCAAGAATTGACCTACTGGGAGATCGAAGAAAAAAAGTTATGTTTTTTTTAATGACTTCCCCTGTTTATTATGACATTTCTGGACTCTGTGGAAAATTCTAGACATATTTAATGTATAATGTCATATACCTGCACTGTACATATACCTGCTATCTTCAACTGTTTCGGGAATATTGACAATTTAAAATTGACTTTTTTGCACCTTTGACAGACTGTAAAACCTAAACGGTTAATGTTAGAGGAAAACCGATTTTCCATTCCTATCTTGGATTTTCATAAGCTATCATTTGACACCAGCTTTGAATTTAACCGAAGATTAATAATTTAGGCGAAATTTCTAATCATGGATTAAATTCAAGGTTGGTGTCAAATAATAGTTTATGAAAACCTAATAAGATAGAAATGTATGATCGGTTTTGCTGTAAAATTAACCGTTCAGGTTTTACAGTCTGTCAAAGATGCAAAAAAAGTCAATTTTCAACTGTTAATATTTCCGAAACAGTTGAAGATAGGTATATAACATTGGACACGAAATATTTCTAGAATTTTCCGCAGAATCCAGAAATGTCATAATATACAGGGGGAGTCATTTAAAAAAACATTACTTTGTGTTACCACTACTAATTGGACCACCCTGTATATACTGGAAAAAAATTTAAGAATGTAGTACTCATGTTTATCTACAAGTTTTGTATTTAGTTTTTTCTTCGATCTCCGTAAGTATTAGGAGATATGGACCACCGCGCGCTTAGTGATTCACCTTGTATAAAAGATGGGCACGGAAATATCCTTGCGGGGGGGCCCGGATTTGAAGTTACGCCAATGAACTTTCACCTTTCACCATATTTTACCTTAGCGAAAACGTCATTTTCGGCACTAGTGATAAAATATCCCATATAGTTATCTTTCGTCACTAGTGACGAAAGTGAATGATTAGCATTTTACATGTTAAAAACATTCTTTCAAATTCATTTATAATTTAATTTTGTGGAGCACAATAAAAAAACTTTGTTTATCCCAAAATGATGTAAGTTTTGCTTTATATAATGATGTAATAAAAGCAAAATAATAGTAATAAAATTAATTAAAAACGAGAACTTTTGATAGGGCTTCGCCTCGTTTCTCGAATTCTGTTTTCGTCACTCGTTAAACAATATAGTATATAAACTTTTTTCTACTACTGTGCGTAAAGTACTCACTTTACGCACTATTCAGAAGACGTAAAATTTCTCTTCACGCACTAGTGCGTAAAGTAGTTCTCTTCACACATTAGTGCGTAAAGTAATGTCAATGACAGATGTCGACTTGTCAAATTACTATTTTTCTGGTAAATTACTTCACACACTATAGTGCGTAAAGTGAAAATACTTTACGCACTAGTGCGTGAAGAATTTGTCTGAATTTATTTTTTCGCGCATATTTGATTGGTAGTAGAAAAAAAATTTGTATGCAATACGTGCGTAAAGCACCTTTTTTCACTTTACACACTTGTTGCATAAATAACTATTTTCTACTACCGTGCGTGAACTACTCACTTTACCCACTATTCAGAAGATGTAAAATTCCACTTCACGCACTAATGCGTAAAGTAATTCACTTCACACACTAGTGCGTAAAGTAATGTCAATGACAGATGTTGACAACTGTCAATTTAGTATTTTTCTGGTAAATTACTTCACACACTAGTGCGTAAAGTGAAAATACTTCACGCACTAGTGCGTGAAGTATTTGTCTGAATCTATTTCCTAAACATAATTTGATTGGTGGTAGAAAAATTTTTGTATGCAATACGTGCGTAAAGCTCCTTTTTTCACTCATGTGATGTGTCAAACTTCACATTCGTGAAAAAAGGTTCACTTTACACACTTGTTGCATAAATAACTATTTCAGCTATTTTTTACGTACTAGTGTGTAAAGTGAATTACCTACTTTACGCACTGAGTGCGTGAAATATAAATTATCCGTCTTTTGAAGAGGACGCGAAGTAAGTATTTTACGCATGGAAGTAGAAAAATAAACTATTATCGAAAAAAAATCAAGTTTCTGTATCCAATATAAAAAACATACATATATCAAAATAAAAAGGATAAAAAAACAAATAATAGTACATTATATACAGGGTGTATATTTTAAGTGATACCACTATTGCTATATCCGAAACGGTAAGAGCTACAAGGTCGGTTAAATTAGGAAAAAGTTGCCTTTTTTGATGCCCATTTAAGACTCGTTTACAGTTTTGCCAAATTCTTTTTAGTTTATGAAATACAGGGTGATTTCTAAGAAACGCCCAAAACTATTTCATCAATTATTTTGAAAACTATTGATTTTCGAGACACAATTTAAATTTGAAAGTTTTTTAATTTTTCTCGCTCTACAACATGGTGTCATCAAATTTCAAATCCGATGTTTCGTAATCGAGCTACCATAACTATTTCTCAGGTTAGTAGTAAAAAAACTACTTTACGCACTGGTGCGTGACATTTTATGTCTTGTAAAAGGTGCGTAACGTAAGTACTTTACGCGCGGTAGTGGAAAATAGTATATTATATACCTAGGTAGAGAAGTTGGTCATTATATACCGAAAGCTTTTATAAACCGAGGCGCGCAGCGCCGAGGTTTATATTGCTTGAGGTATATAATGACTTTCTCTACCGAGGAATATATAGAATTTTTTTTACTACTGCTAGTAGAAAATAAAAAATTTGTTTAAAATCTGTGTTCTTAATTATTTTTTTGAAAGTGCTGCCCTCTAACAACAGCTTATGATAACTTCCTATATGTACCTACAGAAACCTGTATTTTTTTTGAATTGACGTATGAAATTGAAATTGGACCAATAGAAACATGACAATATCCTTGCATCATGACGTCTTTTTCATTATTGACCTAGGTATTTTTTCATTATTTTCATTATTAACCTAGGGAGAGAAATTCAATTTTTTCTTAGAAAAATAGATTGAATAATGTCTATTTCTCAGGTTAGTAGTAAAAAAAAACAATTATTGCGCCTTCACTTACAGTTGGGAATGAGATGTTGTACCCATACTTATACAGGGTGGTCCATTTAAATTGAGACATTTCAATATCTCGAAAATGGCGCGTTTTTGCATGAAAAAAAAAAGTTCAATAATGTCTTAAGTTCAATGGCCCACCTTGTATACCTATTGTATATCGTGTGCTAGAAACTTAAAATTACCAATTTTTCATTGAATATGAAAATTTTGTGACTAAATAAAAGAAAAAGTAAAGTCTGTTTTTTTTTTTTAAGATAATTCCCCAAGTCAAAAATTTAGTAACTATGTTGGCAACACGTACAAGCCTTCTCTACATAAAAAATTTGAAAGCATCGACAATTTAACATTGTTTTGCCAACATAATGTCATTTTTATCTTTAAAAAAAACCAGACTTTATAAAAGTTCCGCTTTCCGCTTCTACCCTTTGCGAACGAAAATAGAAAATTTCCTCAAAAAGGCAAAAAGGGGATAATTCCGTCAAGCTGGCAACACTGTGGCTGACTCGTTATCAAACGCAAGGATATCAACAAAGCATTTGATAGGTTGGATATAAGCCCCGCCCCTTTCCAATCAGATGCGAGTGATATCAGCAGGGCATTTAATTGGTTAGTTGAGTCCCGCCCCTTCCGGGGTTTATGTATTGTCAAGGTATTTGATTGGTTGTTTCCTTTTCAACCCTTTCCAATGGCCCCGGCCCACCTACAGTGACTTAACCTTTTCAGATAGAAATTCGGTACCGCCGCCATATTCTTGCAAATCTTGAATATTAATATAGAAGTTAGCCACGCCCCTGCCGCCATATTTTTGCAAATTTTTTGATGTTTACTCAGGTATTATTATTAATATTATTATTATCTAAGTATATATTTACAATCCTATATTTATTCTTAATTTTTCAATTTTTCCATCTCATACTTTGTCTATTCTCGGATCTTGAATTTTCGTTTTCTTTTTAATTTTTCCAAGGTTTATAAAGGCCGGGACACATCTATCATGCATTCTTCCGATCCGACTCCGATCATACAATCAAGGTCCTTATTCTTGGAACAGGGGAGCAGCGGAACACTCGTTCTCTTGGGAACGCTGCTCCCTGTTCCAAGAATAAGGACCCTGATTGTATGATCGGAGTCGGATCGGAAGAATGCATGATAGATGTGTCCCAGGCTTAATGCGTGATGCGTGAGGTATATAATGACTTTCTCTACCGAGGAATATATAGATTTTTTTTTACTACTGCTCGTGGGAAATGAATAATTTGTAATTTGCGCTCTAATTATTTTTTTTGAACGCCCTCTTGAAAGTGGTGCCCTCTGTCAACAGCTTATGATAACTTCCTATGTATTTTTTTTTTTGACGTATGAAATTGAACCAATAAAAACATGACATTATCCTTGCGTCATGCCGTCATTTTCATTATTAACCAAGGTATTTTTTCATTATTAACCTAGGAAGAGAAATTCAATTTTTTCCTAGGAAAATAGATTGAATAATGAGTATTTCTCAGGTTAGTAGTAAAAAAAATACATTAATTGAAAGATAATTCAGTTTCCTCATTCCTATTACAAACACACTTCACATCAAAAAATATAGATGGCGCCATACTAGAATGTCAAAACATATCGACAAAGTCCAAGACTCATTTGCGTCTTTCTCTATTTCTATATAAAAGAAAAGGATAGACTGTTCAAATTGACCTAACGAATATATTCTATTACTAATAATAAATATTTTGGGGGTTTTGGTTAGGTTGTGCCAATTTTTTTATTGATTATTCAATTTTTAATAATAATTAATATAAAACTTTGTTTTAAATACGAATTAAATCAAAATGAGCAGCTCAAAATACAACGACGACAGCAGTAGTAGCTGCAGCAGCAGCAGTTCTAATGGTAATCAAGGAAGTTAAAAAAAAATCAGGTTCAATTTTTACACAAACTTTCCACAGACTTTTCAATCAAATAACTACTTCAACTACTCGATTTCTAATAGATATTTAAATTTTGTCAGTGTTTGTTAGGGAGCCGAAAGAGGTCCAGGAGCAGGTCACCTGTGAGGGGCCCTTCTAGAGAGGAACCTAGAAATGTAGGCCTCAGCGCCAAGAATCGACTCAAAAGCATGAGCATACAAATGAAATTGTCCAAAAGCAAAACCAATTCGGACAATAATAAGCCTAAAATTAGCGTAGCGTCTGCATTTAATCAGGACAGTGAAGAGGAACCTGAGGAAATGCCTGCGGAAGCTAGGATGAGAATGAAGAATATTGGACGGTAATAATTATTGTACTTGTTAAGGGGCAAGTATTTATTATTGTGTTTTTTTTTTTAAGGGGAACACCTACATCATCAGGGCCTAATTCTTTTGGCAAAACGAAGCAAGGGTTTTCAGATGCTAAGAAAATTTTTGAAAAAAACCTAAAAGATGCAATGGATTCAGCTAGAGCTGATGACTGAATAGGACATTTTAATAACTACATTTTGTTCTACTTATAGTACCTTATTGATAATTATTTAATATTGTGGCAAGGCACAATTTGTAGAGTAATAATAGTAAAATAATACAATTTAATTTATTATATTATTTATCTGTTTTGAAGTTATTTATAATAATTTTTTAAAGTGTAATAAAGTTAATAGTTTAAACACAGATTACTTCTACTTTTCTAAGTCAAATTTCATTTGGTAAGTAGTAAAACAAAAATGAGAACAAGAAATTAAAATTATATGTTAGTAAAATGAAATTAAATTATTAGTAAGTAGGGTATTACAAAGGTGAAATCTAAATTTTAAATTCTTTGGTACTATCTATAAGATAAGTCAGAAAAAAGTTCTGTAAAATGTGTCAGTCAGTCTCAGTTTGTAGTAGGAATGTTGATTTTTTCTAGTCAGCATGAGAATGAACAGGAAAATCAGCATACCATCCAAAAGCCCCATGGTCTCCAGTATGCGCTCCAAAGTCTACAACATCATGATGATCTCCACCACCAGCCTGTCTTTGCTGACGAGGGGCACCTGATTCTTCTTCACTTTCTGCTGTAGGATAAGCAAAGCACACAGCTAAGAAAGCGACAGCTAAGAAAAATGTTAAAAACTAAAACAAAAATAATAATAAATTATAATTAAAAATAAGTTTTGGATACTTACATGCTTCATTTTAATAAGTAAAGTTTTCTTGAATACTGGTTCAGTTTGTGTGTTATAACTAAATTGTTAATTTCTTTTTTAGTCTATTTATACTAAAGACAAAAATTACTTTCACATTGTAAAATTGAAAAAAAAAAATCAATTTACTCGCAATGGAGTATAATGCAGCGAGCACAAAGTTTCTCTTAAATTGGGAAACCTTAAAAACCACAAAATTAACAAAAAATACAAAAGAGAAAGATAAATTATTTTTAATTTTTTTTTTAAATTGCCCGCCTTTTTTTAAACTAAACTCATGATTGAAATCGATTAGCGCTTGAGTAGCTGTATTGATTTTTTATCCCTGTTCTTCTCATCGAGAGAAAAAAAGACGGAACATGCTCGGAGCTCTCTGTGTTTTTGAAGACGAATTCATGGAGTGACGTTGCCAACCTGTCACTCAACGACGCCATTTTCTTTTTAGCTCTTTTTAAAAGTGTCAAAAGTGCTGGCGACATCAACATGGTAAGTTTTTGCAAATTTTCAATTGAAAACAGCAAAAAAACAACTCAATTATTCCCACTTCAATCAAATAAATCAACAATTAATCCTTCCTAAACGATAAAACCTCAAAAACCCGCTTTCTAAAAACCTAACCTCAAAAACAAAGCATGGTCGTTTTTGGGGCCGAATAGGGCTCCGCATTGATTCTTTCGTTTATTTTAGACTTGCAAACGTAGAAACGGAGGACGTGCCAAGCACGGTAGAGGCCACGTTCAGCCGGTGCGTTGCACCAACTGTGCTAGATGTGTCCCAAAAGACAAGGCCATCAAAAAATTCGTAATCAGGAATATTGTTGAGGCTGCCGCCGTAAGGGACATCACTGAAGCTTCAGTTTACACACGTAAGAATTTATTCAATTCTATATTTGTAAAAATAGCTCAATTCTTAGTGCAAATTGAAAGTTTGATGATTTTCATAGTCAATCCAGTCAAAATTACTTGTTTTTTGGTAAAATTGCTCTGAACATTACTCACTAATCCCTTATTTATTTCAGAGTACGTTCTCCCTAAACTCTATGCAAAACTTCACTACTGCGTCTCGTGCGCTATCCACAGCAAAGTGGTGCGTAACAGGAGCAAGAATGACAGAAGAATCAGAACTCCACCGCAAAGAAACTTCCCAGGCAACCGTGACCAGAACAGACCGCAAGCCGCTGCCAGGAAGTAACTTGTCTAATATTTAGGTTTAAATGTTTTAAAATAAAACTTTGACTTCAAAAAAAAATTAGTAAGGTGTGTTTTTTTTTTTATTAGTAAGCCAACGAAAGAATACAAAAATGGTGATATGTTTAGGTTTTTTTATTTTAATTATAGCCCTGTAGTTTAAAATTATTACATTTATTTATTAACGCAAGTCTTGTCTCTTAATACTGATGATAACAAAATGCTGCTCAGAAATTTTTTTTCTTTCAATTTGCATTCTGTAGGCCTCAAAAAACGCAAACTTATTGAAATGTTAGGTAGCATTTTGAAGTAAGCAGCATTTATAAAAAATAACAGTTTTTTTTAATAATATACATAGTTATTTTTCACTAATATTCCTTATTCATCATATCAAACAATAGTTTTTTTCATTTAGAAGTCAAATCAAATTTTAAACAAATATTGGAATTTTAGGTTTTTGAACATCGAATTCCAATTCAACAGAGATGCATAATTATACCTAAAAATATCTACAGGGTTGTTTTGTATATTTTGACAGCATATAGTTTGCTTATGAAGCAAGATAGAAAGTCAATAGGGATTTATGAGAACTACTAGAAAATCTAACTTTTTCGCAGACTCGAATACAACTTGTAATTTTTTTAATGGAACACCCTGTGTATTTTTCAAAAAATTAAATAGACATTCTTTTGCTGATTTCAAAAATATGTAATACATTGATATTTCTTCCACAAGTTTTTGAATTATTTGCGTTTAAAAATGGATTTAATTGTTCTACCAAATCGCAGTTGCCCTGAAGAAAATAATTGTCTACATGTCTACACATCATTTTGAAACGATTATGTAAAATGTTAATTCTAGGGCTGATTTATTCACCTTCTGATAAACTGTCAGGTATACAATCTGACGACCAGCAAGCAGAGCTGGCAAAAGTATTTGAAGTACAAGTTTTTTAAAATTAAACTTCGATTATCAAGTAAACTTAAAACTTACTCGAATTTCATCAAATAATTTACTTCAAGTAAAAATATTGAGCCTCAAGTACCTAAAGTGGCATTGCTTAAAGTGTATTTTAGTACTTAAAGTATGTAAAATACTTGAAATAAATGACTTGAAGTAATTTTTTTAGTTATTTACAATATAATCCGATCCTCATTCTATTCTGGTTATCTTATTGTTAAGTAAGTGCTTTGGTGCTTCAGTAATTTTCAAAATTTTTCGTTATAAAGTGCGCCGATTCAAGTGAAATTTTGTATATCTCAGTTTCAGTTCTGAAAATCAAGCGGAGCATGATTCCAAAATAGGTACCTACAGGATATTTGATTATATTTAAGCCCATACCTACCTATAGCCTTTACTATTTAAAAGGCGCGGTAGACATAATTGCTCAGATCTGTGTTGGATATTCGAATCAAATGAAATAATTTATATATCATTGGAAAGAGAAATAAATTCTCTATAAATCCGTGCAAAATTGAAATTTATAGCTCAAATAGTATTTGAGCAATTGAGTCTCAAAGTTCGCTTTAGAATTGAGAAAAAGTGGAAAAAGTACCCTTATGAAAAACTCGATTTTTTAATTTTTGAGTTTTGCTCAATTTTGATTTTACCAATCGATAGCAGAGCGGGTCGAAATTAGTAGAAAACAATCTTGACATCAGTGCCAACTGGCCATTCAAGCAGAAACAAAAATAAAAATTAATTCCTATTTTTGGCTATGGGAAATTTTCAAAATCTTGACATGTCTTGAACAATTGCTCATATCTGTGTTAAATTTAAAGCAAATTGAAATAAATTATACACCATTAGAAAGAGCATTAAATTCTCTGTAAATCCGTGCAAAATTGAATTTGATAGCCCTAATAGTTTTTGAGTAATTGAGCCTCAAAGTTGATTTTTAGTTCAAATTTCGCCAAAAACTTCAAACTCGATCAATTTGCTCAAAAACTATAAACCTGGGAATATTGTAAATCACAAAGTCTTTTAGAGCTTGATAAGAGCAATAAATGCTGAAAATTTCAATAGAATTTGTCGAACGATTACCGAAAAATTGAGGTTTAAATATTTTTAAATCACAATTCAAAGGGGGGTACCCTTATAAAAAACTGTTTTTTCAAAAATTTTGCTCAATTTTGACTTTACCAATCGATAAAATGGATAAAAACTAGTGGAAAACAACCCTGACATCATTTCCAAATGGCTATTTTAAGCAAAAACAAATAAATTATATACCATTTGATAGAGCATTGAATTCTCTATGAATAAAGGTACCTACCTACCTATGGGCTTAAATATAATCAAATAGGCTAATTCAAGATTCAAGAATGTTTTTCATATAGAATGTACCTATACTTATGTACTTAAAGTAGAATTTCAAGTAATTTACTTCAAATATTGACAGCTCTGCCAGCAAGTTTATCTGAAGATGAATAAAACATGCATCAGGCAGCTTGGGCAATAAAAAATAATGACGTGTAGACAATTATTTTGTTCATGGCAACTGTGATTTGATTGATTAAATCCATTTTTAAATGCAAAATATTTCAAAAACTTGTCAAAGAAAAATCAACATATTAGGTATATATTTTTGGAAAAGAATACCTATATTATTCTATTATTGAAAAATATACAGGGTATACAAGTTTTTTACCACATATTTTGCATGCATCCTGTATGTAAAAAAGTATATTTTTCTAGCAATTCTCGTAAATTCCTATTTACTTCTATCTTGCTGCACGAGCGTCAAAATATACGAAACAACTCTGTAGAAAGTCACATATATTTTTGGTTTCTCCTGTAGGTATAAACTAAGAAAATTTTTGTCCTAACAGTTTTATAATAACAAATAATATATACAGGATGGCTAAATAAAATTCTTCATTGCACCACCCTCTATAATTTTTCTATAATTTTTTTTTTTTATATCTTAATATTAGTCTTGCTAATTTTGCTATTTAAACACTGAGCAGTGTGTGACTAGAACAACCTACAATAGTGACAAAATAAAAACGATTTAGAAATATGTATTTGCTAATAAATTGTATTGCCTATTGGTAATTTTTATTCCCAAAAAAAATTATTTTTACAAAATTTTGGCTTTCAATTTTTTCAACATATGTAGGCCTGAATTATTGTAGTACGACATTAGTGGCACATTTTTTTTCTAAACCAAAATCAACAATTTTCAACAACCAACAATAAACCTCTTAAGGTCTCCATCCCATAATAACTTTCTTAAACGGCACAAAAATCCCATGGTAAGGTTCCCTAAAAACAAAACATTTAAACAATTGGTTTAAAATTAAACAATTAATTTACCCCTGAAAATACCTCCTTCCTCCATAAGTCCCATCGCAAGTTCCTTCAGGACAAGTTAACTGAACCCCAACAAAATGGTCTTGCGGACTTTGCGAGGCCACTGGTCCTACGTACCTCACCCTACCACCACGGACTTTTCCTTCAGGAGTGATGACTTTTACCCAATTTTCAGGTTTAAGGTCGCGGGGTAAACGTGGCAGGAACGGTTGCCAGCCTTGTGGTGGTACGTTGTCTCTAGTCGGTTCCGGTGCTGATGCTCTTCTAGGAGTTTTATGACGATTTTCACTAAAAAGAACAACTTAATTTATTATTAACTCTACATTTATTTATTAAATGCAAAATGTTGATGTTCATATTTCTGCGTAGACTTCGAAATTCGTATACAGACAGGACCAGGATACTTCTAGACACATATAGACTTCAATTGGACCCAGATTACTTGCTATGTGTCTAGTTATAGTATAGAGTGGTTTCATTTCGCAACCGTTCATTAGATGATTTTTGGCATGTTGGGAATTGGAACTTTGGAACAAACCTTATAATTACTCACCCATATGGTGTAGATTCTCTACTAGTCACCATACAATCTATGGACCTCCTCAAATAATTTTCAGCTTCTTCCACTAACGAATCCGTACTATCGCCACTATCCATTGTATTCCAATCTGTGCGTAATTCGGGAAGAGACCCATTGGCAAACCTTACCTATATAAAAAAAAATGTTTAAACAAATAGAACACAAGGATTTTTCTGAGGGGTAAACCACCTTGAAAAATGTATACACCATAGAATCCTATTTAACGGAATTCCACTCAATCCTATTGGAATTTCACAAAATCCTACTGAAATTCAATGGAACTCTTTGAGGAATTCCATAGAATTTCTTGTGAATTTTTAGAATTATTTGGAACGCTAGCAAACAAAGACACTAGACAAAAAAGTCTGCTTCAAAGAGTCATCGACTCATCAAGCAAACTAAGCAATCCCATCAAAATCCCACTGGAATCCGATACGCTTGTACACTATAATTCCAGGCTGGTTTACCCCTTGGATTTGTCTTACCTTTGATGGTGTACATCTCTGCATAGCCTTCCTAGAAGGTGACACTGGGGCCGAACACCTTCTCGAAGGTGCCGGAGGTGACAAAGGATAAATACTACTATACCTTGACGGTGTTTGGCTGCATTCGCTTGGTGTGGCAGTTGTAGCAGTCCAAGTAAACTTTTGAGACTAAAAACAAAAAAAATTATTTTCTACATTTACAACAAAATACTCTTACCAAACATCCTGGTGAATATAAATCAGTTGCCTTCAAAAACTGTCCATAACTAGTAACGGTTGAAGGTTGCTTAAGTGCTCCAGGACACAAATGATCGGCTGATCTCGACAATTCCGGTACCATGCTAGTGAATCCAATGTCGGACAATAAAACCCGTCTGGCTTCGACCGTTTTTTCGGATAGCCTCAATCTGGAGCCTGGCATTGGATATTTCGAAGGTAGAGTGGTGAAATTTTCGCCCAATTTCGCCTTGTTAGCGAGACTGCTTTCTGATCTCCAAGCGGCCGATCCAGGTAGCGCAGAAATGTCCGTCTGAGCTCCAGATTCGCGTCTAGTAGCGTTCGAGTGCGTTAAAATGGGTCTGGATTTTCTGTTCGAGTTTAGGCCTTTGGTGATTGCATCCCTGAAATTCCTTTATTTATAAATGAAGCGTTTGTGGTTCGAGTATGCATATGGAGAATGGAAAACTGATTTAAATAAAAGGATACATTGTCAGGTGGGTTGTCCATTGTATGCTTTTTCTCCAAAGAGAGAAAACATGTCAAGGTTGTAGAAAGTTGAGCAAGTAGGTACTTATAAAGCCTGGAAACGGCGTTGGCTTCTGGAAGATAATTTGTGGTAAAATAGGGTGCGTTCAGTAGAACCATCGACTAATATATGTTTCGAGTCAAAATTTTGATTATTACCGGCGTTTGAAGCATTAGGAAACTTCTCCAGAACAAATCAAAAGCTTATTTATCATCATGTACTGGCTTTGAAATCACTAAGAAATGTTTCCAAAGGAAATCGAGAGCCAGGGAAGATTCTCATTTTGATTATCAACGACTGGAACATTTTTCTGCAGAAAATTTTGATTATCATCAGAAAACTTCTTCAAAAGAAATCAAAAGCCAAAAATTGATCATTTTGATCATTATACGGGGTCACTAGGAAATGTTTCCAAAGACATCAAGATTCTCATTTCAATTATCACCGCCTAAAATATCTTTATGTTGAAAATTTTGAATATTATCGGCGCTTAAATCATTAGAAAACTTCTCCAGAACGAATCAAAAGTCGAATATTTAAAATTTTGATCATTATTGGCTCTTGAATCACTAGGAAATGTATCCAAAAGAATTCAAGACCCAAGGAAAGATTCTCATTTTGCTTATCAAGCGCTGAAACATTTTTCTGCTGAAAATTTCGATTATTACCGTCACTTGAATCATTAGAAAACTTCTCCAAAAGAAATCAAAAGCCGAAAATCGATTATTTTGATTTTTACTGGGTCACTAGGAAATGTTTTCAAAGGAAACCAAGATTCTCATTTCGATTATCACCGCCTAGAATTAGAATATCTTTCTTTTGAAAATTTTGATTATTACCGGCGTTTGAATCATTAGAAAACTTCTTCAAAATGAATCAAAATTTGATTGACATTGACTTTTGAGCAATTTCTAACAAGATTGCAGGCTCCACTAGCAGCGACTGCTTACCATTTTTCGCGAGTGTATATGGAATGTACGCTACTGCATGTGACTGCACCTCGGACTGCACAGAGTTTATACCGATTGCAAGTGACTGGGTATTATGACTGCATACGACTGTATTATGACTGCATGAGTCCATGTATTCCATTGATCGCATATAAAGTACGTCGATTTCAATCTGATACTCGCAAGGAATGTGACTTGTGAGTTGGTGGCACCCTACATTAAAACCCCAATGGTCACCTGACGTCACACCTGTTTTTTCCATTTACTTTAGCCCCTCGCTCCTCATACGGAAAGTGTCAGATAAAAATCGACGAAAAATACATGAATCTATGATATTTGTACACCTACTGCACGAGTGAAACGTGAAACACCCCTCGGCTGGAACATTTTTCTGCTGAAAATTTTGATTATTACCGGCGCTTGAATCAGAAAACTCATCCAGAACGAATCAAAAGCCGAAAATTTAAAATGTTGATCATCACTAACTCTTGAATCACTTGGAAACGTTTCCAAAGGAAATCAAGAGCCAGGAAAGATTCTCATTTTGATTATCAAGGGCTGGAACATTTTTCTGCGAAAAATTTTGATTATTACCGGCGCTTAAATCATTAGAAAACTTTTCCAGAAGAAATCAAAAATTGATTATTTTGATCATTACTGCATGGGTCTTGAATCACTAGGAAATATTTCCAAAGGAAATCAAGAGCCAGGAAAGATTCTCATTTTGATTATCAAGGGCTGGAACATTTTTCTACTGAAAATTTTGATCGCATTACCGGCACTTGAATTAGGTACTAGACAGCTTCTGACATTGACTTAGTAGAAGTAAATAGATTATTGCTTTCCTTGGGGGGGATAAATTGGTATTTACCCTTCCAAGAACGTAGAAATTTAATGAAATAGATAAGTCAAACTTTTTCAGATTATTGAAACTTAAAAACAATATTATTTAAAATCCACTTACCTATGTGATAAAGGCCTATACTGAAGAGGATTAGGACAAGTATTCCGTCTAGTACCAACATACTCCAATTCATGAATACCGCACTTTGAAATATCGGTTTCCACAATACGCACCCTTTCCTCAAACCTATCGAAACTCTCATCTTTTTCTATGGATTTGTTTTCGAAACTGGAATCCTGATATGAATAGTAACTCTTCAGGCTTTTATTTTCGTGATTTATCGAATTGTCCGAACGAGAATTGAATATCGAATTGTCGCGTTTCATTTCAAACGACGATTGCTGCTGGATTGTGTCGTCGTTGAAAACGTCATCGTCCAATTCTCGGTCTGAAATTTGATCCAGATCGCTAAGAGGTAAGTTTAACAAATTAGAATTGGATTCTCTACTGTCAATCGGTACGAGTTCTTCTTTGAATTCTTGATCTTTGGTATCGTCCGTTGTGAATATTAGTTCGATATCGTCTACTTCTTGGTCCAAGTCATTTTGGGGGCTCAATAGTTGTTCGTCGTAACGATTATTTTCAGTTTCTTCTGAATTTTCTCTTGAAACGCTCATAGTTGGTTGATTGTCATCAAAACGAATTTCTCTGTTAACTGAAGCTAGATTTGAGAAGCTTATGGTTTTGGTGAAAGAAACTTTTTTATCTAAATCTGATTTGATTACAGTTAAACTTTCAAGTGATTTGGATTGTTTTTTTGAGCGTTTTTTTGCTTTTATTGTGATTCTGGTTTCTAGTTGGATAGGTTTTCTAATTGGGCTTGATTTAGGAGATATTATTGTGACTTTTTTAGGTTTCGATTGTTCTTGATGTGCATCATCAGCTTGCTTCACTTCTTGAATGTCTTCAGTTTCATCTGCATCAGCAAATTGATGATCTGAATCTTCTTCAGCCAATTCTTTTGTGGGTGATTTATTAGCATCAACAATCTGACGTCTTAAAACATGATTTTCAATAGACAAGGCCTGTATTAGTTCTTGTACCGAATTACTAGGCCAACTTTTGGTTTTCAATTCTAAAATTTCGTTTTTGCTTTGCTCTAAAGCTTGCCGAAGGGCTACGATTGTCTGATGTAGGGCTCTTACCGTTTCTAATCCACCACTTTGTCTAACTGCACCCCCGAAATCCATTTTAATGCTTTATCCACATCCATGCTGATATTATGTTTGCACTACTTAAATGTTTTCACTATACTATTGATGGCACGCAAATGATGTTGATCGATGGATAAGGGCTTAAAGTTAAGGAAAAGAGCGTAGTAACGCTATAAACAAACCAATTAACATGTTTAACACTGCCCTAATACACAAATTACGAGTATTTCAAATAAACCGAATCAATACTCTGGCAAGGCAACGGCACAGGGGTCCGATTTTTATACAACCCTGGGAATAGCGGGCGTGAGCAACTCTGGACGAACGTCAGCAGAAGCCCTCTTTGTTGGAACGATGTTTAATCGATAATCAAATTGAGTCTCGTAGGTCTCTACTAAGCAAATCTCATCTCAATGATGATGTTGTTTTTTGTTCTAATTTATTTTGTTTGACCGCTACACTTGACCCAATTGCAGATGTTAATTAGTTTGTGGCAATAAAGTGACGTCAGTTGGAAATTCTTAACGAGCAGTGTTAATGATTTAGATGAGTAGGAATAGTTTTTGAGTCAATTCGTTTGGTCTCTAGCTCAATTTTGATTTGAAAACATACTACCTACCCAGTAAACACTATATTTAGATGATCATTTAGGACGATTCATTTTGAAAGAAGAGAATTAGAAGAGTCAGAAGTAAAAATCAACAAACAAATCAAGTGCCTGAAATTCTTCATTACTCATTAAATAACTGTAAATTTTTGTCTATTCCATCAGGCGCTAGGCTCTCTGAAATAATCCTGAAGTTTTTAAATTGTTCTGAACCGTTCAAAATGCTGCTGGAAAGTGTGTGGAACGTTCTAATAGGTGGCTGATTAAAGTTCTACAGCGTTCTAACTTTAGCTTGAAGCGCTCTGGAGCATTTTAGAAGTTCTAAATTGGTTCAAAAGAGTTCTAGAAGGTTTCCAGTTCCAAATTGAATCCTATAATTGTCCTGAAATAACTCTGAAGTTTCTAAATTGTTCCAAAATGCTCTTGATAATTCTGATCTGGATTTGAACTGTTTTAGATCCTTGTTAAACGTTTAAAGTTCTACAGCAATTTAAATTCGCTTTTGAACGCCTTCTGAAAGGCGATTTGCACCTAAATTTTAGGATTCTGATGCTTTCAAAAATTTTTCTGAAGATTCTAAAGTGTTTGAGTGTTTATTAGAGCCTCCTAAAATGGGTTTCAAACTTCTGAATTGTTCTAAAATGCTTTTGGAAATTGTAAATCAGTTTTTTAATGTTTTGGAGCATTCTAAAATGGTTCTGGAGTTTTCAAATTGATCTGAAGCGTTACAGAATGCTTTTGGAAATTTTGAATTGAATTTTAAGTGTTTTGAAGTTTCCAAAAGGCTTATTAAAGTTCTAAAGTGTTCTGTAGCATTCTAATAAATGGCTTCCAGTCAGTAACTTCTAAATTGAATGAGAAACGAATTCTGTGGGAAGTTTTTGTAGACATTTTATAGACGTCCCTTGCCCTTTCAGACGTCTGCTTAAAGAATGTTTTAGTCTTAAGAGGCGTCTTCAACAAGATGTCTTAACGACGTCTTTGAATCTCTTCAATACATAATAAACCATAATTCAAGTTTGGTCGTACCAAATATTTGTCTTTAGGATGTGAATTCACGACATCTTACATCTTCAAAACAACGTCTCCTAGACGTATTTCTGTGGTCTTCAGACGTTGAAACGTAATGCAGACCTAAAAGAGACGTCTTTAAGACTTTATGTGCAGTCTAAGTAGTTTGAGTTTGCTAGAAAGTATATTCCTTTTTAGAAAATAACAAATAAAGGACAAAACAAATAAATCCTGAGACAAATATCTGCCTTCTAGATGGGCTCGTTAGTAAAGTGTGGCTGCGCGCGGTATTTTTCTTAGGTTATGTTTTTGTTTTGATGGATAAATTTCTATTTACCTTTTAAATTTTTCTTCAAATTTATTAGAAAATGTTTTCCTATAGTGTTTTGAAACGTGTAAACCAAATAGGCAAAACGTTTGTGAGATATAAACACCCACCACATCATTGGGTAAGTTCAAAATCTTTTTATCTAGGTACTTTCCTTGGATACTTCTTGGGTACCTACTTGGTACTTGGTACCCAAAGCAGAAAGAAGTTGGAGGTCTTCTGGAATAAACAATAGTTTTTTTAATTTTTTTATTTCGAAATAATCTTAATTCAAAGTATATTTATTCTAAAACAATAGTACTTATAAGGTCTGTTCTCTCAGAAAGTTTAAAATCTTTTCATCTAGGTACTTCCTTTGGCTACTTGGTACTTCCCACAGCAGAAATATGTTGGCAGTCTTCTGGAATATACAATGGTTTTTTCATTTTGAAATAATCGATTTAAAGTATGTGTATTCTAATACAATAGTACTTTATAAGGTCTGTTCTCACAGAAAATTTAAAATCTTTTTATCTAGGTACTTCCCTTGGGTACTTGGTACTTACTTGGTACTTCACAGCAGAAAGAAATCGAACGATCTTCTGGAACAAACATTGTTTTTTTTATTTTTTATTTTCAAACAATCTTTATTTAAATATAGAATAATATGTATTCTAATACAATAGCACAATAGTACTTATAGGTCTGTTCTCACAGAAAGTTCAAAATCTTTTTATCTACGTACTTCCCTTGAGTACTTGGTACCTACTTGGTACTTCCTAACAGAAAGAAATTGACGGCCTTCCGGAACAAACAATGTTTTTTTAATTTTTATTCTGGAACAATCTTTATTCAAATAGTATATGTATTCTAATACAATAGCACAATAGTACTTATAAGGTCTGTTTTCACAGAAAGTTTAAAATATTTTTATCTAGGTACTTCTCTTGGGTACTTGGTACCTACTTGGTACTTCCCCGCAAAAAGAAGTAGATGGTCTTCTGGAACAAACAATAGTTTTTCTATTTTTTCTTGTGAAACCATCTTAAGTATATGTACCTATACTAATATAAGGTCTGTTTCTGCAGAAATCACAAACCAGTCAGAGTGAAATTCATTAGTTGAAACTAGTTTTCTGACTGTTTTAAAACAGACCTATAATTAACTTATGAACCTATCAGAGCGAATTTCATTGGTTGAAAACAGTCAGAAAACTGGTTGTTGACAAATTTGCACCAATCAAAAACACTCTGACTAGTTTGTGATATCTGTAAGACCAAACCAATAGTTTACACACTAATTATTTTCATTTTCTTGATTGGTTTTCTAAAACTATTTCTACTTTTTTATTTCCAGTCAGTTGTCCGTAAAAAAGTCCACCCAATCGACAAGGCCTTAGCTCACTTTGACGATTTCTACAAGCAAGTTTTCAAAAAAAACTGGCCCTCAATCAGAGAAGGTTTACTAGAAAAACAAAAATATGTAGCGGTCATTAACAATTTCGGAGACAATGAAACCTCTATGGCCAAACTAGAAATTATGGGAGCTTTAAATTTAAGAACTTTATTCACTTTGGAAAAGGGCTACATTAGTGAAGAAGTACAAACCAATCAGAGAAACATCGCTTTGGAAACTATATGGAAAATGGATGCTGCACTAGAAGCAAAACTCAAAAAATCCCAAAAACAACCCAAAGATGATAATATAATAAATAAAGAAAACATTTATAAGCAACAATCATTGCAATCAAGCCTTGACAATGCTGAAATTGATTCTAAAAGAATAGTTGATTCAAAAAATGCCTTATCAACAGAAATTTTAAACGAGTTTATACCAGCCACTAAAATAAAAGGCATGGAAGATTTCATACCTGAATCTGCCCATTATCAAATGTTCGATAATACAGCTTCAATTAAAACAGCTAAAGAGTATGACATTCACTTTCCAGAACACTTAAACATTTACTGTTACGAAACGGACAACAATACTGACTTTCCTGCAGCTAAAACAGCATCCACAGGAGTATTAAATTACTATTTAATGGATGGAGGATCAGTTTTACCTATTCTAGCTTTAGACCTAAAACCAGGCTGCAGTATATTGGACATGTGCGCAGCACCTGGAGGAAAAAGCCTCTTAGCCTTGCAAACTCTATATCCAAGTTATGTTTGTTCAAATGATGTATCAATGTCTAGAGTTGCACGCATCGAAAATGTTTACAAGCAATTTTTGTATGATCTCGAAGAAAAATGGTTGAGTACTGGTAGAGTTAAATTAACCAATCACGATGCGAGGTTTATGCCAATGGATAATTTTGATAGGATACTTGTAGATGTTCCTTGCACTACAGATAGGCATTCTTTAAAAGAGAATGATAATAATTTGTTTAGGCCTTCACGCATAAAGGAAAGATTGAAATTACCTGAACTACAAGCTGAGCTGCTTTTCAATGCTTTGAAGCTAGTGAAAAAAGGAGGCATTGTTGTTTATTCAACTTGTTCTTTGAGCCCTATACAAAATGACGGTGTAGTTAATATGGCTTTGAAAAGGATTTGGGAAGAAACTCAAATAGAAATTTTAGTCAAGCAAGTTTTAATTAAGGGTTTTGTGATTGTTTTTTTTTTTCTAATTTTTTTGTTTTAGGGATTTAAATCCAGCTCTACTACAAGCGAGACGGGTTTATAATTTTGCTGATCCAAGGCTTATGAAATGCGGTCATCTAGTTCTACCGGCCAAAGGACAAAACTATGGTCCTACATATTTTTGCAAATTAGAAAGGATTAAATAGGATTTCAATGTTTTTGTTTTATTTTTATTCATTCATTGTCATGAAAGTCTAACATCTTGTGCTGTTTTTTTTCGGCCTACTCTACTAATTCAATTAAAAATCACAATTGGACGCGTACCAAACAAGGCGCATCATCTAATGAAAATTCTTTTTAAAAAAATGCTCCAAAAAAGCCTTGTTTTACCGCGAAGAATTCCAAGTGTAAAACGCATTGGGTCACGGCTAGATGGAGCTTGCGTTCTCGTTGTTAAATTGGCTGAAAATTCGCTGAAGAATAAAAAAAAGTGTATAAAATTCGTGTGTTAATTTACAGATGGAAAGTCTCTGATACTAATCTTAATGAGTGTGATACTCGAATTAGTTGAAAATTCTTAAATAACGGAAATTTGGTGATTATTATTATTCAACCCGCAATATTCTCATCAAAATATTCATTTCGTTTCAAAAACAAACATTTATATTAATCAAATTAGGAGTGTAAACGACCCGAAACCGACAAATGACTCTCTGAAGTTTGTTTAATTGAACGTAAATTGACTGTAATCCTGGCAGTACCTCCATTTCTGAAGAGGCATTTTGTTGATTAGGTACCGCTATTTCTTTATTTAGGTAATGATATAATAATTTAATAACATGTTAGGAATAGTTAACGAGACAAGTTAGAAATTTGTGGAATTAATTATCATATTATAATTTGTACGGATACAGAAACTAGGGCTAAGATTGGTTTGAATTGGAAAAGTTTAATTCAGATTTTAGGTCTTCCCTAAACCAAACTTTCTATCCTAAAGTCCTACACAACCTGACACAATTTGAACCTAATAATTACCATTAAATTGAATTTTAGTACTCAATTAAAACAAAAATTTATCGATTTCCATGAACTTTAAAACAACGACAACTAACTGGGAAACGATAAAGCAAAAGTAACGGGTTTAAAGGAACCTAAGGCCATTTAATTTTCACTGTTTTATTACCTGTAAATGATTCCATTTTGGTAGTTATTCTACTAATAGAATTTGCCTCAAACTATATTTTGCACCTATAGAGAATTTTATTCAGTCCACGTATCCTATTGTGACTTCCTTCTGGGTGCTTCAGTTGATAGGATTGGAAATTGTTTCCAGTGGCTGATCCAGAAAAGTTCTAGTCCTGAAAGCGGAGTTTGAGCTCCCTATATACTATAACTCCAAATGAACTAAACATTTCAAATTCCTATCTATGATACAATATTTGATTTGAGATTTGTCAAAGTTTTTAGAAATATCAGTAGGGACAAAAATGTGGAGATTTCAAATTTTTCCACTAAGTAGGAGTTTCTGAAAGTATTATCTCTATACTAGTTGAAGTTGAGCATTCTTTTCCCATATCATTTTTGCAACTATGATAACTTCAACATTTTTCATATCATCACCTACAGCCTTTACCTTTACAGGTAGAAGAAAGGTGTTCAATACAAAAGTTGTACAGTTTTGGCTGAATTTTTAGAAACCAT